ATACATACATACATACATGAGCCCGATACTTTCTTCGACATGTACAAAATTTCGATGACGGGAAAAATTGCCAGCTCCCGGCGACGCAGGCCCAAGGGCCCAGTGGGCGATGGGATTTTACTCCTGTCATAGAGGAAGCCGACACACCCTGTGAGGAGATTCTCGCCCTTCCTGAGGATAGTTACTGCCACGATGCCGGCGACATTCGTGATCAACAACACCTCGCTGACAACTACAAGCGAGCCTACATGTCCCACTGCCTTCAGGTCTCTCGTCTACGAGCCACTGCCAAAACAGTGGCACAGCCAGTTACAACAGGCGCTCGAAGAAGACGAACAGGTTTCGATCCAGTGGGCTGGCTGGCACCGGAGCGTCGCCAGGCAGGTCTGCGACACTGACTTTGCAGAGTGGTTCAGTAATGACTGCGCCGGCCCTGGCCATTCTCTTGCCACTTTCCGTGATGCAGAAACTCTGACTGCCTGGTTAGAGCTCCCGCCAGGGCTTGTTGCAACAGTCCCTGTCCCAAGTTGACCTGGAATTAGGTACACCCCTAGCACTGTTGAGGACGCATGGATTTCCCTTCCCTTCAGAAGGAGTCTTCTCCATCAGCACACCCAGCGTTGCCCGGAGCTGCTTGTGTTTGCTGATGTGCTTCGTGACCTTGCTACTTCAGAGTCCGTCCTTCTCTCCTGTGAAGGTCTGATCGACTCATTTGGACTTCCGTTTCCTCTGCGGTCCTTTCGATCAATCTCCGAACCCGTCGTCAAGCTTCGTCTGTTCTCTGACCTTCTTCGGGGTGCCTTCTTCCTTTGGTCACAACGGGCCCGGCCTGCCTGCTCCTGCCTCCTGTCTCCTGTCCAACGGTTGAGGCTTTCTGCAAGACTGCGCCCTTCGCTAAGTCTGTGAGGGGTGCCACAGTTCTTGCCAATTTTGCACTTGAGCAAGGTGCCACATGTTTCAGCTTTTCTAATTAACCGCGTCCGACATGGACACAACGCCAAGAAAAGCGATCAGCGGTGTATGTATGTATGCATGCATGTATGTCTGCGTGTGTGTGTGTATATATATATATATACATGTATAAAGGTAATTAAATAGTGTGTTAACTCGGACAGACTTTATATAGGTGCAAGCATACATACAGAAGAGGAGGCTGTGGGGCTTGCGTTTTTTTCAACCAACCATGTTCAGTGGTTTTGTATGTTTCGAGTGGTTGTGTGTGTGGCTGTGGGTGTGTGTCAGTTGGTCGCTAGTTTGGTGCACGTGGGTGCATGTTTTCGTTTCCAACTATAACATCAATTCTGAGTTGTTAGAAACTATGAGGTTTGTTTATAAACGCAGGGTTTGTTTATGAACACTGCGTTTCGGTATGCCGTGCTTTCAGCGTTTTGAGTTTGTTCGATGTGTTCATTGTCATGTGCTTCGTTTTCTTATGCGTTTTTCATGAAGAGGATATGCTCACAAAGATTCGTGCAAATTCAGATTCTGGCCGATATGTGCTTGTTTTAGTTTTCAGCTGCCCTTCTATTGTTCGTGCCGGCTTGCACTTTTCTCGCGCAATATTACAGACCCGGGATTGAAGAGAATTCAATCTTTCGTTCCTTTTTGCATAACATCAGGATCAGCCACAGATTCTCGGGCGCATGCTCAAATTTTACGCGGTGCTGGTTGCAAGTTTTTAGGCAGAAGCCGTCACCGTTGTGAAAATTGGGAAACCTACGAGTTTCCTCGCCGACCCAAACAACCAAGGACTCAAGATTAGGTCCCGAAATTTTTCATTGTCCTCAACTGTCAACCTGATGTTTTTTTTTACCCAAGTGCCATGCAGGGAAGAAGGGTTCCAACCTGGCGTCGTCGCTTTCTCTGCTGCGCTGAGTGCCTGCCAGCAGGTCCTATGCTTCAGGGTTTGAACCGGAAGCTTGGGGTTCCGGGCGTCTGGGGGCTAGTACGGTTTGGGCTTAGGTTGATCCAGGGTTTGCAGACGCATTGGAGTTCAGGTTCAAGGACGTATGATTACAAAAACCGGTCAACCTAGGCCGGTACGCTGTAACAGGTTTTGGCCTTGGACTAGTGCAAGCATGTAACAGCCGGTGCTTCCAAATTCGGACTTATGGACTATAGTTGGGGCTTTAGCATCTAGGAGCTTATGTGGAGAGTGCTGAAGTGGGTCGTGGAATGGAAGGCTGTTCGACCAACACCCCCAAATCCTGCGAGCCCTCCCTTCTTCGAGGTCAGTGTTTCAACACATCCGGCTCATTTCCGGCCCCTCAAATCTAAGTTTTTGGGATTCAATCGATTGAAATGTAATCAAACCCCAACATCTAAGTTCGAGGCGGGTGAGTGGCAGCACGTGCTGCATCTTTACACAAAGATGACTGCTTCTGCCTTGGAGCCGCTCCTTGGCTGCAAACGCCGAGGCTGCTAACACTGGATCCCTAGCCTGTCCAGGGTTGAGAGACCAGGACAATGGGTTCGGAGCAGAGTCTACGTGTCGGATGTCTGCAACTAGACTACAGGCTTGTCAATGTTTTTGCTGTATGTTTTCCAGGAACGTGGTCACTGTGGCCTCTGCACTGGCCTCCTGCGAGTCTGCGGCGCGCGGCTTCGAGTCGCTGGTACTGCTGGCCAGGTCCACGAAGCTTCCATGTTGGGCTCGGGGGTTCGGGCGACGGTGATCTCTCGGAGTTTTGACGGCACTGGGTCTGCATTTTCTGGACAATGTCTTGAAGGCCTTGCTTGAGCGCTGAGGTGCTTCAAACTCGTCTCCTGCAGCCAAAGCTCGGAAACAAGTGGTCACGTGACCAAAACGAGAACCTTTCTCCCAAGCTCCCTGCTTTGGGTCTAGACGGCAGGCTGGAGCAGTGCAGCGAGCTGGTTTGAGCCCGGTTTGGGGCTGGCGAAGCCAAGGAAGTTTGGTTTTGAATTCATGGGAATACAGTCCTGGGTGGCCTCAGCTCGTGCAAAAAGCTCTGCCTTTGACGCCTGCTTGTGTAAGCCTGCTGGACCTAACCGAGCTCGTGCGCTTACTCGGCCACCTCAACAAGTCTCGGATAGGTTTAAGTTTGCATATTTGATGTCTCCATGGTTTACGCACGTGCGATTTTTGTAAGCTCTAGTGGTCAGAACGTGAGTAGCACCAGTGGCCCAATTCAGCTATTACAAGGGGGTTGTCGCTTGGCCCGTTGGTTAAAGCTGCATTGGGATCCTCACAGTGTTTGGATGGTGATCTTCTTCTCACAGTCATGTTGAGCTGAGTTTAACAGAGCAGAGCTGCCCAGCGCGGCGAAGCATGCCAGGGCTGTTGTCATGTGGCTTGGGGGCGGAGGCGATCTGGTCGCAGCGGATACGGTCCCGCCCCGCCCCGCTGCACGGGAGAGCCTCGCAAGGCTTCCTGCACCATTACAGTGCATTCGAAGCGAAGGAGGAAGCGCCACCAAGATGCTACAACCGTCAGGGCCAGGTTTGCAACATGTCCTCACTGCCGGAAGACGAGGACAAGCAGGCTGCCCTGGACAAGCGCATGCAGCGCCTTCAAGCAGACACGCAGCTCCGGCCGCAGCTGTACCTTGGAAGCCAGGACGTCATGAGCCAAGTTGATAAGGCGAATGTGCTGTCCGCCGAAGAGCTCAAGAACATGGCAGCCAATGCAGAGGCCTACGAAATGGCACACATGGAGTTTGTGAAGGCTTACATGGGCTACAGGAAGGAGCTCCTCAATTGGAAGTCCGCTACCCGCGGTCTGGAGGACGACTATGCCCTGCACTGCCGTCCCTTCCACGATGTCACGATGGATTGCGAGAGGAAGTGGCGTTCCGCAATGCGAATGTCGGCAGCTCGCGAGCCTTTGCCAGCCTGCATGGTTGGAGTCGTCACGCCCTACGTGCGCCACCCACGTCCTCGTCAGAGCTGGCTAGACTGGCTCTTCTGAGCCTGTTTCAATCCTGCAGCTGCAAGTCAAAAAAAAACAAATCCACTTGTCAGCCTCCGTTCAGATAGGCTCAGGACGGCCGAAGCATCATTCAGATAACCAGGAAGTTCATTTTCTGGCGACCGTGTCCCGAGGTCTGAGAAGTTAAGACGAATCCAGAAGCACTCCGAAGAATCCTCGCAGATTTCGGGCTACACACACATGGGGGAGATGCCAGATTATATAAAGAACGTGGCATGAGCTGTTCGGAACTTTAATGAAGCAACGTATTCCGAATGCCAGCCCCAAAGCTTAAAATGTGTAGCCCAATGCAGAAGCCAACCCGGCTCTGAAGTTGTCTCAGTACTAATGGTGGGGAGAGTGTGGTAGGCCTTTGCACCGTAGGCCTTAACGCCTGAACCCCTAGATCTCCCCATAGATATGTTCACTGTTTAGGTCTAGGATTTGGCTTCGGGCTTGGGGTATCCTTGGGTATTTGTTAATCCCGCTTGAGCCATGCTTAGAAAAGGGGCTTATTGAGGGGGTTCCTATGATGGGCTCAGTACGGGGATGGCTCATTACGACATGAACCCCACACACTAAATGTGATTCTCTGAGCCACAACCTTGCTCTTTGCGAGTGGAAGGCTCCAGCTAGCCCTTACTGTTTTGAGAATCGCATCTAGGCTTCTTTCCTGGATCACTCACAGGGGAACTTTTCATTGCTACGGACCATAATCCGTGCATGGCCCTGTATAGCCCCTCAATTTGTTTTATAAAGAACTCCTGAGTCGGATGTAGTCCAGGGTTAGGCCTTAAACCCTTGGTGTTATTTTTGTTTGGAGGGGAGGTCCAAGTTTAGAGTCGACTTCCCTTCACTTGCCTATGGCAGTTTATCGTCTGACTGGTTGTCAGCGGCAGTCCCTCTTTCATCGTAGCCGCAGCTAGCGCTGTTGTTTGGGGTTCCTGGCTTATCTCAATATGGAAGTCTTCTTGGTTTGCACAAAAACGAAGCTCATGAGTGTCAGGGTAACTATTACTAAGAAGAAGCTGTAGTAACCCCAGCCCCCAAATACCAGCCGTCTGACTATCGTGTGTGGCGTTGGGTTATTAAAACACCTCTACACCCCAGACCCTCTAAACCTAACTACAGGTGCGTGTGTTTTGCGCCGAAGCCTCTTGGTTTTGGCCCCTCCGTGTAGTGGGGGTTTAGTGAGCCTGCAAATCTCCCAACAATATCAGAGATTCTCAAATTTATCCGCATATAATTCCTCGGAGGTCCCCAGCTCTATATCAATGCAATATTTCCAGAGGGTCCCCAGAACCTGAACCCGAACCCCATCTCTTTGTTCATCCCTCGGCATACCTGACACGCAAGCAAAAATCTTACAATCACAACCATATCGGTTACGGTTTAGAGTTTAGGGCTTAGCAATTTCTTAGCCATGGCATGCTGCGGTGCTGTTGCTCCGACCGCCTTGGAGCAGTATCTGGATCATTGCCAGGAATATTCTTATTTTGCTACGGGGCCATAATACCTACACCCTACGTACACCCTATAAACTCGTAGGAATTTGATCTTTAGTCAGCTGGAGGTACGCAAATTCCATCCGAGGGCGGCTCTGTGGGTCGGAGCCTCCGAGAACACAAGGGACATCAGCACGTGAACAAGACAAGCACCGGCGGTAATGAGCCAGAACTCATTCGTCGAGGATTTGATTTAGGCTGAACCCTCTATGTGTTGCACCAGAAGTGAGTCGTGCCTCATGTATGCATCGAGGTTATGGCGGTTATGGGGTGTGCACCGCATCCGACTGTACATGCGCCGTTCCGAGTATGTATGTAGTTCTGGCTGCAACCAAGTCTTGCGATTCCTCTCCTCGTTATACAGGACGCATCCCAAAGGCCTTTGCTTGTTCAGATTGACTCAGGGTTTCGATCGCAATGCCGTTTTGCCTGAAGCATACTGGCCCGAGGCTTCCGAAGTGTCGGCATGGGCACCCAGGGTTGAGATTTGTGGGCAAGGCATGCCGAGAAGTATCGTTCATGTTTTTGGTTTCTCATGGCTTCTACAGCCACGCGCTCCGACATGTCTCGGAGACCTGCATTAAACCCTGCAGTCTTCTCGTGCCAACATGCAGTTTGCAGGCCAATTCAAGCAGACAGGAAAGAGCGGACATGGGGCACAACTTTGGAGCCAGGGAATAACATAGAACGACCTGCTGCTTGACTACCTTTCACTCCTCGGAATGTTTCTAAACCGCCCCGGATGGCACGCTTAGCCTTTCAAGCTACTCCGGGTATCCCTGCCCAGCCCCTCATCACCGCTTGCCATGAGCTGCGCCAAGCGCCGAGCTTCATGAAGCCATGTGCCCAGATTCTATGATGGAGTTAATCTTGTGCAGCAGGCCGACGCTCTACCAAGACAGGTTCGAGACCCCTTGTCGAACTGTCACTGCTCTTTTGATTCGACCGTGTCGCATGCATGTGTGTGCTCAGTGTTCGGAGTTGGTGCAGTCCTTTCATTTCCAGGGCCATGACTTTGCTGCCCGCCTCCCCTTTCATAATATCTGGCTCGCGCTTTCCTCTTTTGCCGCACGCTATTCCTGAATCCCATCCGACGAATTATACAGTAACCTTGACACTCTTCGGGCTGAGGGCATTCTCGCAAAACTTGATGCTCATCGTCGTCGTAGATGTCACAAAGCTTGGCGCTCCAATAGATCCGGAAAGGCACAACGCCCCCGCTCGAGCATGGAGTCGAGCATGACGTTCGGTAGAGCAACTTGCACTCTCTGCAGTCCAAGCCTCGGAATCCTTAGATCCTACAAGCAAATCGACGACATCGATGTCGGCGATGACTTCGAGCTCCCAGAGGCCTGCCTCTGCTGTGGGATCAAGATGAAGATGTGCATCTCACGGTGAATTTTGCCTCAAGTGACTCTGACGCAAGTTGTTGCTCCTTGCTTTCGAGATCAAGTAGCTGTCAGCTCTTGGCAAAAGATGAAACCCGTACTTATGCGGTGCTTTCAGACCTCACTGAGGGTCATCTGCAAGGCCTAAACCCCAAAAATGCCGACCTGGAGAGTCTTCCCATCCATTCCCTTGTAAAATCGATGGGACCGCTTGTCAAGCGTACCGGTTGCCTTCCCCAACTTAACCTTAGAAGGAGCGTGGGCCGCAAGCTTCGTTTCCAGCAGTTCATCCTGACGCTTGCTCGCCAGGGCAACATAGTTCGCGGACAGCTGCTTTTCAAGAGTCCCAGCAGCACTGCTTCTCGTGCAAAGCGTTCTGCCGAAGACGAACCCAACCACCTGAACACGAAGCCGTACTGAGTTCGACTTTAGGCCCTGGTCAATTAAGCTGTGCAGAAGGTTGGAATCGGTGCAAAGAGTTTTTGGACCTCCTTGGGATGATTCGGGGTCCACTGTTTTGCACTCTTCTTGCTGACATCCCGCGAAACCAACCGGTGGCAGAGTGGCGTGCAGTCTTCAACTAGTCTTCGACATGCGAGTGCTCGTATATGATCGAACACAGAGACTACCATGTTACCTCCTGAATCCGTCAACACAGATTCTTCGGGTCGGCGAGTCATTCCTTTATGCCGAGGAAGCACTGTGCGCAGCCTGTTACTCAGCTGTTTGCTGGTCCGGCTTCGGCTTCGGACAGGGTAACAGGAGACCCCATCCAATTACAACAGAGCCTCTTTTTGGATGGCTGAGGGCTTCAATGCGTGTTTCCGCGCTATACTCTCCGTGTCCGCAACTTGCAGCTAGGTCCCGGGAACTGGATGTAAGCTGCCGTTGGAGAAGATATCAGGCATCCAAAGCTATGTCATCCAACCTCCCAATCCCTTCGCCTTGCTGGAGAGCTCACACCTGTAAAGCTGTTTTTCGAACGGCACCCGTCGTTGCTGAATTCTCATGCAGCCACCAGGTGCCACACGATCCGAAGAGATGGCACCAACCCGTACGGCTGGAGACCTAGTAAATGGAATTTGGGGCTTGGGTCTCGTCGTGTAGATCTCTTGGAAGCCGAGCCAGGTCCAGGCTAGTTTGTATCGAGTGGCTACGACGGATTTCCTCTCTTGAAGACCACCAGGAATCGGAAAGGTCTCTCGGTCCCGAGGCACCCTGGCTGGACCCAACCTTTATGGCGTCATGGGGCGAACGGCAGCGATGAATCAGCGTACCGGCAAGGGCCTTTCATGGTTCTGGGGTTTCGAGCTGCGGGTTCAAGGTTGTGCAGTCAGAACTCACAGTGTACGTATAAGTCTCGGTGTCGTTGTTGGGACATCGGCACTCACTTTGGACTTGAAGGACTTATGGAGACCAAAGGAGCTGCGGGTATGACGAGTTCAGGGATTGATTTCTCTCCGACAGAACGGTCGGAAGTTGAAGGTTGAAGATTATGGCTCATGGTATGACCATAAGTAGATGGTGTCTGTGTGTGTTGCTTCGGAAGAAGTCCAAGGCCTGAGTCTGTATGACTGTGGTTCTACGCTTTCGCAGTGCCTGACTTGAGTTCCGCACAGTGCAATCACGCAGTACATCTGGCCAGCTCTGATATCGGTGCCTAAATGCCTAAAGTGGCGTCTAGTCTGATGCATCAAAATCCTTAGACCTATAGGCTGTTCTTGCATCCTGACCGGGCAGTCTACTCGTTTCAAGATGCTCCATCGACCTCGAAGCTGCATGTCTGCGACCAAAGCATTTGTTTGCGAAGGTTGGGTCAAGCACTCATCGAAGCTGGAATCCAGTGGCATTCTGTGGACAGAGAGGCCGTTCCGATCTTCGTAGGATGCTATTTTGACCGCGGGATCTGATTGCGCACTTACATGACACCGCAAACAGTGCACCACACCGAAGTTGCGTTGCTGGCTTACTGCAGCGACTAGTTCCGTATCTACGCCAATAAGTACACGAGCCAGCGACGTGATCATCGGGTCTCTTGGGCTGCTAGCTAGTGTAGCATTTTGCCAGAGTTGTTCACCGAGTTGGATGTGAGCCTGCGGTCTTCTTTGAAACCTGTGGCTGATCCAACAATCATGCATCCATCCGTGCACCAGAACATTTGCTCACATGTTTCCATGGTGCTCAATCACCCAAGGTCTTCCGCTAAAGCACAGCCGGTTCAGGAACATGATGGCCTTCCTGAAGAATCCCCGTGCCTTCGCGGGAGGCAGAGCATCCGAGCATCGTTGGACTTGGCTTCCATATCCCAGTATCTTGAGATTTCAGTCTCAAGAGCTCCTATCCTCGGGTTTTCGGGATCCGAACCTGCACTGTTTGTTGTAGGCTGTCAGACAGCCTTGAAGCAGCAGCCCTGAATGCAGTTGCTTCAAATAGAGGTCACCAGATGCTCCCACCGCAGGCTTGCTAGGTGTAGCACTAAGAGTTGTATTCATGTTTCCCAGCCGCCTCCATCCACCATACACCTTGAAGTTAACACGGCAACATAGTCTCCAGGACAGCCATTAAAATTTTGGTTTTGTAGAAGCAGCAGAGGAGTGATCCGCCATGGTTCCCTTCAGACGACTGCAAGCGATATCATGCTTCAGAGAAGCCAACCTCCGACTGGTATTGGTCTGTGCCCAGAGTTAGATTGCGTTTCGCGCAAGAAGTTCAGAAGATACTTTCTGCACGAGTTCCTGGTTGACAATTCAATCTCGACGAGGGTTTCACACTATTTTGCAGGGGTCATCAACATGAATTTCCGCGGAATCGAAAGCTGGCAGGACTGGCGGGGCTCTGTCAAAGTTCGCATCCGTCATTCCTCAGTTGCCACCATCTTTTTGCGAGTTTCGGCACTTCCGTCTGTCCGTCCCTTCATCCCCCTGTTTTTCCTTCCCTCCCTACCCGCCAGTCAGTCAGGCAGGCAAGCTGTCTGTCCGTCTGTCTGTCCATTTGTCTGTCACCTGTTTGTCTGTGCCTGTCTCTCTTCCTCTCTCCCTCTCTCTCGCTCTCTTTATTTGTATCTTCCACATGTGCATGCTCAGCGCTTAGGGCTTCAGGATTTTTGCTGAAATAGTTCTTCTTTCAGTCGAGGCCATCTAACATAGATCATGCAACATGTTGCAACATGGTATGAGAGGTTGGTGATTTCACCCTTCGTATGCCGAAGCCACCTCTCGACGAGGGTGGCGATTGTCTTGACGAGGGTGGCGAGGAAGATGATGCTTGGTATGACTGGAATGATCCAAAAATTATCAAGATGACGAGCATGACACGAGGACTCCGAGGTTGATGATCAGGGTGTTGATGACAAGTATGCTCAGACTGGCGGCGATGGCATACAGTATGGACTGATGCGGCAGTGTCATTGATGGTGCAAGCTCGAGAGGATCGCGTGGACATCATTCACTACCTGCAGCGGGCAGGACACGAGTCTTGGATGGCGCGCGGCCTGGATGTCGTGTGGGGCAGGACGTCCCAGAGGTGGTTGGGGGGGGCTAGTCGAAGATCCAACGCGGTTTTGTGATTTGTGTTTGCTTCTCCTGCTGCTGGTTTTGCTTCTGCCGTGCGGTTCTCGCCGCCGCTGCCGCTGCTGCAGCTTCTGCTTTTGCTGTCTTGAGTATGTCGTCACGCAAGCTTCGTTCAGAGATGTCATGTTATCTCAATGTCGGTTGCACTGAATCACTCGTTATCTTTCTTGTTATTCTTCTACTTCGTTTTGTCTTCCTTCAGCTTATGACAGTCTTATTGATTCGTTTGCCATCGCCCTCCAGCACCAAAACCTCAAATAGCCAGCGCATTGGATCGATTCAACACCTGCAAACAAAACTCAGCTCAGCGCAAATCTGGCGACCCGGAATCGAACCAGGGACCATCTGATAACTACACAGCTCTACTGTCAGATGCTCTTGCCAACTGAGCTTTGGCCGCCTTGTCTACACTCCAACGGCAACGTTTCAGTGAGGGAGCCGACATTTCAAGGGGTCTGTGTTCGCTGCAAGCACGGCGCGTTTGGGTGTGGGCCTTGTAGTTGCTCCTCTCACTTGGGGAGGAGTGCAGGGCAACTGGTTCCAGCATCATCCGGAGTCGGAGCCCGCGCAATGTTGGTTGGATGGGGCACGGAGAGTCTTAACATGCTTTCATGCCTATCCTCGGCGGGCGCTGTTCTGGCCTTCAGACGAGGGTCTACTGCCGCACTGTGCTAAAACATGAGAGCCGCAGCTTGGAAAATGAAGATTATGGACCCAGGATCGAAGATGAATTTCCCTCCCTTGCGTCAACAGGTCATTGGTTCAACATGCGATGGACACACATACAAGCAGAGCAATTTGGCAACCGGTACCGAGGACCACCGCATTCTCTCTGGCGAGGCCACACGGAGTTTGAGTTGGGCTCGTATCCAGGCAAACAAGGACAGGGTGAAGCAGCCTCCCCAGCACCTAAGCTCACTTCTGCTTTGCATGCATGTCCTGAGCACATATTGGAAAGACCAAACAAAATGCCGAAAAGAGGACGAATGTGGGCCTACACATGAAGGACCCGATAGACGCACCGTTTTACGACCTCACCATGGAGTTTCTCTGTGTTCACACGCGCCTGTACCCGAGGTTTCTCAGATTGCACTACAAAACTTGTTCTCGCAGTCGTGGCGAATTCAAGCCTCACTCACTGTTTGGCTGGAGGTATGGACATGGGCCCCGAACTCTTCGCGAACCCCTTTCCTTGGAGGTACATATGACTTCGACGCCGTACAAACGGCCCTGTCCCTCGCTGAAGAGCAGATGCTGCAAGGTGCTGTCGCTCAGGACCAGGAAGGGCTTGGTGCTAGATGCAGGATCTCTGGCAGTGAGCAGAGCTCCCTCCAAAGGACATGCTCGACCGCCAGAGGCGCCTGTCGTATCAGTCTGAGAATGACATTGCTGCGTAAGACCGATGTGTCTTAATTCAGCTGTGGCAGTCGGCGATCGAAGGCCGGCTTCGCATGCTCACTACGAGTCTGCTAACAGTGCTGACTAGCAGCCTAGGAGCTGAGTTCTGCCAAGAGCAATTGTGGGGCGATTTCCGTAGCTTCATGCGCCGCAACTCGAGGCAAAGCGATCGTGCAAGCAGCAGTTGAGCCTGCTCGTCTGAAGCGACATCATGCCAGAGTCGGGTGCCGTTCTGCCTTGCGCTTCCCTCCAGCCAGCATAACAAGAGGTCTCGGCAAAAGCTGCAGGGGCACTGGGAGTTCTCTGTCTTGCATTGGCCTGCGGCCCAATCCTGACTGCGTCGGCAGATTTGCAGGGTTGCAGTGAGTAACGTCACATAGCTCCCAGTGCTCGTGGCAAGAGGCCAAGCTTTTGACGTGACCTGCGTCAGCCAGTCCGACCAGAGGGCAGGACTACACAAAAGTTGGCTGTCAAAGTAAAGACTGACGGCATGGAAAGAATCCTGAACAGTTTGGCTGAAAGTCAGGAAAAACCGTCCCAGGGAGCTTTGGCGGCTCCTGACACCAGACATGGGCCAGATCCTATTCCAAGCCTGGCAATGGAGGCACTGCCAACATCGGGGCCTCTGGCCACACAAAGGGCCAGCGCAGGTGGCAGTGCAAAACGTAGTCAAGCCCTTGATGCTTGATACTGGCCGAGTTGAGCTGGCCGGTCAAGCCGCTGAGTTTTTCAACTCATGTTGCCAGCGATCTAAGAAACATTTCATTTTCCACTGCGTGCCGTTTTACCTCGTGTCACACTGCGACTCCGCAGGTTCTGACTAGGCTCAAGACAGCCAAGCAGTTAGAAGGAACAAGTGAGACGCTTCTTAGCGTTTCAAGGGAACCTTTAAGAAGGGTTTAAAATTTTCATGGTAGCGGAGCTGCTGGCAAAGGCCAGCAGCTAAAGAAGCAGATCCAGGGAAGCCCGAAGGGGCAACCAGCCAAGAGATGAAGTGCAAAGGCACAAAGGCAAGAAGTTCGATTCGTCAAGAACGTTCTGCCGAAGCGCAAAGGGAAAGTACCCGAGAAGAAGGAACCTTGAGACTAGCGAAGTTGCCTGCCCAAGGGCAGAAGCAATGGCGGCCCAACAACCGCAAGCACGAAGCAGCAGCAAAGGTTCGATGCTTGTTTTGACTGGCTAGGCTTCATACGCAAATCCCAAGAATGCTGGACTGTGTTTGATGAGGCCTGTGAGGTAGCAGTTTGAAGCCGGCTTCAACGAGGCTTCAAATCCTTGCCTCCTGTGAAGAAAGGCTACAGACCAGCCTTGAGGCTCATTCAAGCTCACTCTCTCCCATCTGCCTGCAGTGTTGTGTTTTGCCTGCTCTGTTGAGCCTGAGCCTTCCCTCAATCTTTGCCTGCCAGGTTCGCGCAGACTACTCTATGCCAACCTTGCAGTCTGCAAGCTAAAGGGAGGTGAGCTCTCCACATGAAGGGCAGGACTTGGGGACAGTAGTTGCCTTCCTCCACCCAAGACCCAGAGGTGACAGGATGATATGATCC